CATGAGACTTAGACCTGAGTGCAACAATGGAGGCTCTAGACCCTTCCAGAGCTGAGATGTCGAAACTCAAAATTTCGACCCGAGAAAAAAAAAACGACAGTGTTACCCCTTACGTTTTTTTTGGGGACAAACAATTAAGTATCCCCAATCTTCTCAAAACTCTGGATTCTGATAGAGGGCCACGAGACTTAGACCTGAGTGCAACAATGGAGGCTCTAGACCCTTCCAGAGCTGAGATATCGAAAATCAAAATTTCGACCCGAAAAAAAAAACGACAGTGTTACCCCTTACGTTTTTATTTTTTGGGCGAAAAATTAAGTATCCCCAATCTTCTCAAAACTCTGGATTCTGATAGAGGGCCATGAGACTTAGACCTAAGTGCAACAATAGAGGCTCTAGACCCTTCCAGAGCTGAGATATCGAAATTCAAAATTTTGACCAGAAAAAAAAACCACAGTGTTACCCCTTACGTTTTTTTTTGGGGGCGAAAAATTAAGTATCCTTAATCTTCTCAAAACTCTGGATTCTGATAGAGGGCCATGAGACTTAGACCTGAGTGCAACAATGGAGGCTCTAGACCCTTCCAGAGCTGAGATATCGAAATTCAAAATTTTGACCAGAAAAAAAAAAAACGACAGTGTTACCCCTTACGTTTTTTGGGGGGGGGGGGGGGCGAAAAATTAAGTATCTCCAATCTTCTCAAAACTCTGGATTCTGATAGAGGCACTGGTGATTCTAGGGGGTCAGGGCCACCCCTGAAAGCTCATTGGCCACCCCTGTGGCCACCCCAGATCTGATAGGTAGTTGGTCAAGTTTGTCAACACAAGAAACAAGAGAAATGCTGTCAATCAATGGTGACAGCTGATCAACCGATTTAGGTCCAGTTTTACCTTTTTTAATAACACAGTAATAGTCACACTGAGGCTCTGAGAGCTGATTTCTGCTCAGCAGACGTTTGGCCATGCAGGTCAGGTTACTAATGAGATGCGCACGCTGGCTGCTGCTCTGTGAAACAGGTGGACAGTCTTGCAACAGCAACAAATACAACGATAAAAACGTGGGAATCTGTAGATTGAGAGGTATGGTAATTTAATGTTTAGTTATATTGTAGTTCCCTGTGAATGTGTAGGAAAATTGAAAAAGTCGAACTACACTGTACTAGCTAGATTAGCATCCTGAGAGAGTGCAGACGGTAAATAGGACGCGTGCAGCTCTTAAAGGTGCCACACCTTATTTCCACTCATACATCGCCATGAAATATAAAACGCTATTTTCTGAAAGACAGATGGTGGTTTTTGCAGTTGTGTGTGTTCAATTATAGCTAATGTTATATTTTTCGCCAACCAGTGTGTTAAATATAGTGTGACAGTAGATTTAAGTTAAAACACAAAAAAAAAAACAAGCTGTGACTTATTTATTTGCTCTGTGGTTTAAGGGGAGTTTAAAAAGGACTTTTTGTTTGTGTCAATTAGCTCATCTTCACAGTCCACATATATTTTTAGAAGTTTAAATAGGCAGAGTAAATTGCATTAAAATGGCACAAATGTCATAAGTTAAATTATGAAGAAGCACCTTAACTATTTATAATTTTGAGTCTTAACTTTTTGATTTTAAAAACGCATTAATGTATGCTGAATCAAAGCCAACGTTTCAATTTATACTTTCATCAAGGCCTTGGACATGAATACTGTCTGGGTTGAAAAACACTTTTTGCACATTTTCATACATCACAAGGCATCCTAATGAAATTATTCAGTCATCAGGCCACTCTCTGTGTTACCTGTGTTTGCTTTACTTATTTAAGTCCCCTCTTGTGGTTAAATAAAAACACTCCTGGCAAAGAACAAACTAAGAAATTCAAATTCCAGTATCTCTAACAAATTATATCTAAGCTAAATAATAACATAAACTAAACATGTAAAGAACAACAAATATTTTGTTTTTTTCCTCACAAACTTAGTTTTTTCTTTTGCTTTTACAGATACACTTTTGAATAAGGTCCTATCTTTAAGCATGTTGGTTTGTCCTGTTGGATTTCTGTGTTTTCATGTAACCACAAGATGGTGCCTCAATTAGTAAAGCAAACTCAGGTAACAATACAGGTGACACAGATGATGAGCTGACGACCGATACATGTTATTGTATAGGATGAGTTAAGAGCAGTTTAATTTTGCTAATCTAATCTAACTTGTGAGATGACAAGGACTTAAATCCACTACAAGAAAATAGCTCTTAGAAAATATTTACCTTATCCTGACCATAATTACTGATTAAAAATAGACATGTTAAAATAACCAGAGATACTTGAGGACTGTCTGTGATTGGTGGTTAGGACTGTTTTTAACAGGATAGACACTTTTATTTGACAGTTATGAGAAAGGAAATCATGGGAGAGAGAGAGGATGTGACATGCAGCAAAGGACCGGGATTTGATCCATGGTCGGCTGCGTATCGCATTTAACTTCGCTATGCCATGGCCACCCCACTCTAGCTTTGTGTCCCATCTTGGCCACCCCCCAAAAAATGTCCTGGATACGCCACTGCTCTCCACTGGAGCGTGTTAACGCAAACGTGTAAGTTTCACGTTTGAGGGGGTTAAACCGTGACATCTACACATTTTCCAAAGTGGACTATTTAGGCTGCTTCATTAAAAATGTGACATTTAGACGTTTTTTTCGCCATGGATCGAGGCAAATGAATCCTTTTCACCTTGAAAATAATAAATGTTTTTTGCATTTTAAATAATAGACCATTTCTCAGTGATCGTCAATAAAACAAAATTCCATTTTTCTCGGTTTAATGAAAACCAATAGGTCGTGATGGTAAGTTTCAGTTTAAGTGTAAGTTTCACGTTTGAGGGGGTTTAAACCGTGACATCTACACGTTTTCAAAAGTGGACCAACGTTCACGTCTTGTCGTGATACCGGAGGGGTATTCCAGAAAGCAGGTTATGAGTACAGTACTTAAGTACAATTTTGAAGGATCTGTACTTTACTCGAGTATCATTTTTGGGGAGTACTCATGACTTTACTCAAGTATATTTGAGAGTGAAATATTGTACTCTTTACTCCAATACATTTCTATCCATAACCATGAGTAAAAAGTAACTACTTCTAAAAAAAAAAAAAAAAATGGAAATAAGAAAAATCTCGGAAACCCTCAAATTGTTGTTTCCCTCTCAAACGTGATTGGATTGTGCAGGATCCACTGATTGGGACAACCTATCAGCAATCACCTTCAGCTTTCCGGCAAAGTCAACTCCATGGTCAGATTTGTATAAGAGACCAAACCATGGACGGACGAAACCAATGGATGAAGATGCAGCAGGTCCATCCCGGGAATGTGCCAGCCCGTGGCCCCACCTCGCCAGACTATTTAAATTTTTCTGAATTTTCTGAAATTTTCTTAAATGTTAAATAAAGCAACATGGTAAAAAGATGAATACGACTTGATTTTACTTTCAATTCCTTTTACATTCTCCAAGGTATTGACTTTAACATTTTTCATAACTCCATGTAGGACGTTTCTGTCCATAAATGTAAGCACTGTGGCAGTTGTAATGCAATATTTAGAAAATGTACTTTTGTACTCTTGATACTCTAGTACTTTTAAAAACAAGTACTTCAGTACTTTTACTCAAGTAGACATCTGACTGTAGTACTTTTACTTGTACTTGAGTCAAATTTAGCAAGGGGTATCTGTACTTTTACTCAAGTAATAAAGCTGTGTACTCTGTCCGCCTCTGCGGAAAAATAGACATTACTCATTAGGCTGCTTCATTAAAAACGTGACATTTAGACGTTTTCTTCGGCGCGGATCAAGGCAAATGAATCCTTTTCACCTTGAAAATAATAAATGTTTTTTGCATTTTAAATAATAGAACATTTCTCAGTGACCGTAGGCTACATAAAACAAAATTCCATTTTTCTCGGTTTAATGAAAACCAATAGGTCGTTATGGCAGAGGCGATTGCGTGTAGAATAGGTCAACACGGGTATCTCTCCACTGGAGCGTGTAAGTTTCACGTTTGAGGGGGTTAAACCGTGACATCTACACGTTTTCCAAAGTGGACCATTTAGGCTGCTTCATTAAAAACGTGACATTTAGACGTTTTGTTTCGGCGTGGATCGAGGCAAATGAATCCTTTTCACCTTGAAAATAATAAATGTTTTTTACATTTTTAACAATAGACCATTTTTCAGTGATCGTCAATAAAACAAAATCCCATTTTTCTCGGTTTGATGAAAACCAATATGGTATAAGTTTAAGTTTCAGTTTAAGTGCAAATTTCACGTTTGAGGGAGTGAAACCGTGACATCTACACATTTTCCAAAGTGAACCAAGTGATTATTTCACGTCTTGTCGGCTGGAGAAATGTTGTTTTGGCCACTTTGTTTGATAAAATCACAACAATTTAATGTAAGCAAGAATGGGATTTGAACTCAGGTTTTCTTGATTGAAGCCCAACGCTTTATCAACTGAACCACTGAGTCTGTTAAGTTCAAGGGTTTATTGGATGGGTTTTTATTATAGGTTTGGTTTTATTTGTTGGAAAAATAAATATAAAAATATAATTTGACACAAGAGGGCAGTATAGCCCTATTTATGGTTTTGTTAAACCGTGACATCTACACGTTTTCCAAAGTGGACCAACGTGATTATTTCATGTCTTGTCGTGATACCAGGTGCGGCTGGCTTGACCGTGTATTTTCCACGTGCGGCCCACTTGACCGATATATATATATATATTCCTGGTACCTGCTAATAGGAATACCCAGGGCCAGGTTCCCTACAACAGCATTAACAGAGTTTAGAGGTGAACATGGCAATTATTTTGTAACCTGCTCTCTGCTTCCTGTTTATATGTTGCATAAATATGACTCAAGAAGTTTGACTTCTCTAAGTCTAAGGTAACTTTTCTTGGTGTGTCTAAATGACAAAAACACATTTCTGCATCAGATAAGAATTTTTTTTCTTTCTTTTTTTTTTTTTTACAGGAAATATTGCTTGTTCACAGAGTGGCCTGGTATAAGAAAAAAAAAACTTTTTAGCTTGTTGATCCCTTAGCAGGCAAGAGTATCAGAGACACACCAAAAAAGTGACTTGTGAATTGAGCCCAAAATGAGAGTTCTCAACGTCTTCGGCTTCATCTTGTTTTCCTTGAATTGTGCCCAATGTCAAGGCAAGTGATTTTTTTGTTGTTGTTATTTAATTAAATGTCTTTTTTTATTGACTTAAATATAAATGTCATATTATATACACTTCCCAAACTGCAGCTTTAGAGAGTGTGTCGACTAGGTGTTTGTGAACTTCAGCATTTAATGTACATGACAGTTATGTCTTTGTGTAATTTGTTTGTGCTTCCCAGAATGTCTTCAAAAGGACATTACATTTGAAAACAAAGAACCAGTTTTGAAAGCTTCATACAATGATGGTGAAACAGTGAAAGTGAACTGCATGACAGGTTATACTGGCATGTATAAATTAAAGTGTGAACAAGGAGAATGGAAGACAGTCGTAGAGCGACCATGTGCAAGTGAGAAAATGGACAATATGATGACCACACAATTTTATTGGATATTAAATCAATGTCATTATGCATGCTGAGTAAAACTTGGTTGATTTCTGCAGAGAAAAAATGTAGTCATCCAGGGGACACAGCAAATGGTGATTTTAAACTTAAAGAGGGGTCGGAGTTTGTTTTTGGAGCAACAGTGTTGTATACTTGCAAGAAAGGGTAATTGTGTTTAATGCTATTTATTCTAATATACGTATGAAATGTATTCTACCCCTTTCACACTTTTTGTACTTGTAAAAAACATTGTGTTCACAGGTTTGAAATGACAAGCAGAATCAATCTGCGTACCTGCAGAGCTAAAGGATGGGATAATACTCTCCCTGTCTGTGAGGGTACGCTTTCTTGAAAGTCACTATTTTCCTTTTTTGTCTCTTGATTTTTCTCCATCATATAGTGACCCGCTACATTATTCAACAGAATTATAATTTCAATGATTAGTTTCTTTCTTTATTTGTTTATTACCTAGCTGTGAAATGTCCAGCCATTCACACAGATGGAGGTGTGACTGCATCGGGCAACACAGACATGGGAAGTTATGGTGATGTTATTCACTTTGAGTGTGTATCTTCTGACAAAAAGATAGATGGAAGTAGTGAAATTCACTGCAAAGAGACGGGCGAATGGAGTGACACTGTTCCAACGTGCAAAGGTTCATTCCGTTGTTTAATTGATTGTTTAATCGTCCATTGATCACAAATTTCTATGCTTTATTCAATGCACCAATTTTCTTATTCCTCTTTCCTTTGCTTTTCACACAGAGATAACATGCAAAGCACCTGTTATACTAAATGGTCATGTTGAAGAGAAAACGAAAGAATACCAGAAAGATGCCATATTAAAATATGGATGTTCTGAAGGGTTCAAGATAAGAGAGGGAATTCCCAGATGCTCTAAATTTGGCTGGACTCTGAAGCCAGAATGTGATGGTAATGCACCATTATTGTTACATAATAAACTAATCATATGGGAAATAATACAAAATCCTAATCCTTATAATAGTCTATCCATATGTCTTTCACTGTGCAAAAAACCTGGTAGCGTAACTGGAAAAATATACAATGTAACATTCTAAAAATAGACGAACCCATTTAAAATTGCAAATTAAGCATAAATGAACATATCACTCAATTAAATTAGGTTTATTTTGAACACATTTTTGTTTTAATTATCGAAAAATTAGTTTTTCCCATAGATTAAATAAAATGTTTGTCTGATTTTAGTTTAATTTTTTAAACAATAAAAGGTTTAACTTGATGAATGCAGTCTGTGCACCAATTTGTAAAACTTGAGGAAATGGAATGAGATTATTTACTTGTATTCCTGACATGCTGTAGAAAGGGTCCAACTGATGTTGATTTTTATGTTGTATTTGAAAGGAATGAAATTTCATTGAAATTGTTCATTGACTGTTGAAATGTTTTGCTATGATTTTATATTTTATTGCGGAAAATTGTGAAATAACAGCATTTGCATGCAAAGTGTGTGACACATAGCATTATTATTCAACACAGTCTCATGAAGATGCGTATCTATACCACAAGTGTCATTTCGCGTGGCATTTATACGCCAAAAATGTTTTTTCGTGTATATGGTAGGCACTAAAAAACCCTGGGTTAGGTTCAGGGGGGAGGGGGGTGGGGAGTTCGTGCGTATTATACGCAAAAAAGTGCGTATCATATGTACGCGAAAATCGCGTGTCATATACACGCAAAAACTGTTTTTGGCATATAAATGCCACGAGAAATGACATTCGTGCCATAGATACGAACTTTCATGAGATCGGGCTGTATTATTTGGTAACTACAAATCAGCAAATAACCACTTACTACTTACAAAAAACTACTTGCTACTTGTTTAATTTTCAGATAATAGTTTAACAAATATATCTTAATGTTCTCAAAAGAGAAAATGTCCCTATTGTGCCTATAACTCTATTAATGGGAAGCTATATATTTTTATTTATTTATTCCAATTTAGGATTTTTATTTTTTATTTCTCAGAATTATTTGTTTCCTGCAAAACACAAAGCATGCAAATCCAGTTTCACATATGTGATCTATTTTTACCCCTTATTTCCATATAATTATGTCTTGTACAGAGGTAACTTGTGAGCTTAAGCCAACCACATTTGGAGTTAAAAACATCACACCAGAGGGTAAAACTGTGTTCAGAGCTGGAGAAAGAGTGGAGATTACCTGTGCTGAAAAATACTGGATTTTTTTTACAAAAGAAATCACCAAATCATTTAAATGCCAAGATGATGGGAAGTGGGATTATAAGCCAGCTTGTCAGGGTAAGATTATAGAGAAACACTTCTGGATTAGGATCTGAATTTACTGCATGCTACGAAATATAATGTGAATATTGTTTCAGATATTAGATGTGAAGTTCCATATGACCAGCATGTGTTTAGCCCACGCTATTACTTCAGTGGAGATATGAAATTTGGAGCAAAACATGATTACGCTTGCATGTCTGGTTATGATCAAATGGCAGCAGAGGCCACATGCACACGAGACGGATGGACACCAAAACCCCTGTGTGTTGGTATGTTCTGACATTAAATCTTACAGTTTGTGCATATAGTATGAAGTTAAATTAGTATGATGAAATTTTTTATCTTATTATTTTTTATTATTTTTTTTACAGTAAAAACGTGTGCAGCACCAGACATCGCAAATGCAAAGATTGTTGGAAAACAGAGATCAAAATACAACATCAATTCAAGAATACAATATAAGTGTGATCCTGGGTTTAACCCAGAGCAGCCTGTACACATCACCTGTAATGCCCAGACTGAATGGACAGGCATACTGCAATGCACTGGTATGTTAGTTACGTATGATACAATAACTTTTTTTCTTTTGATACTGCTTGTCAAATGGAGAAATGTAATAATAATATATTATAAAGAAGAATGCATCCCAGATCTCCTCAATATAGAAAGTCATTTTTGAAAAACATGTACAAATTATTATATTAATAATGTGCATTACATTAATAACATGTTCTATGGTTTAAGGCCATAAAAAAGCAATGTGGCTGATATTGAGATTTTTAATGCCACATTTTCTTGTTGTTGAAAATAGTCTATGAAATAAAATAATACCTTTGCTTTGCCTTCAGAAAACTGTGGGCCACCACCAAATGTCGACTTTGCAGATACAACAGAAATGTCAAAAAATGAATACAATTCAGGGGATAAAGTTGAATACAGCTGCTTTGATAAATACACACTGGATCAACAACACCCCTACTCCAAATACCTGACCTGTGAACAAGGGCAATGGGCAGGGCATATTAGGTGTTTAAGTAAGTATGAGCACGCTACATCCATTATATGTCTCAAATACATGTTAAGCTTTTCTTACTGTACTATTTATTTATTTATTTGCGAGTTTAATGTAATCTTGTAGATGAAGTTGTAGTTCTGGTTCTGATGACTCAATGAATATGTTGGGTTTGTTTCAGAGCCCTGTTCAGTGACGGTGAAGGAAATGAATAAAAGAGGTATACAGCTGAAATGGGGTAAACAGAGAGATATGCTGTCACCACATAAGGATAAAATCAAGTTTGTATGTCAGAGAGGAAAATATCTAATAGTCAATGAACTAAGACAAACATGTATTGATGGAGTGATGGATTTGCCTGAGTGTGTGTAAGCACAAGGAGAATAAAATATCACTGATGTATCACCTGTACTAATAAGGCTTTCCCCCCCCCCCAAATCTGTTTATCTGTTTTAGAATTTTTGCAATTAGAACTTAATAAATGATAAAAGCAAAGTTTAAATTGCATGCATGAAGACAATGTTAACTTTTTTAAATGCCAGCTAAATGCAAAAAGCCTGTAAGACAGAGAGAAAGAGAAAGTTGCAAATAGTTATCATTTTTTCTATTACGCTGTCATGATTCCTGTCTTGTGTGGACTTGTGTTATTTCCTCTGTGCCATGTTTTGTTGTCTTTTATAGTTTTCTTGTTGATTAGCTCCCGATTCCCAGGTGTGTCTGGTTTGCCAATATATCTATACCCCAATGTTTCTCATCTTCTTTGTCTGGTGTTGTCCTTCTATGGATGTTATGTGTGCACTTGCCAGTTTTGTTTGCCTTCTTTGCACACGTCTGCATTTATCAGTTTTGCCTGGATTTACTTTTGTTATGTTTGTTTGAATAAATGTTTGCTGCAGCTGGATCACACTCTCGTTCTTTTGAAACCACCGCCGTTACACACACAAATACGAGAGGAAAGAAATACATGTGTTATTAAACTCTTTTTTTCTCTGGGTTTCCTTTTGAGTTCTTTGAATTTTTGAGTTAAAAATTAAGAAACCAAAAGAAAAGTTAAGAATTAGAATCTAAAAGGATATTAAGATAGATTTAATATGTGTTACAGGCATGCAAACTTTGGGCAAAATAAAAAACAAACAAAAAAACACAAGTGGTTTTCCCATTTTTTTTAATTTTCATCATTGGCATAATGCAACAAAGATTATTAAAGTCAACAAATTTCAATAATACTTTTATTAGACCTAATAGTTTTTCAGACAGTCACAGTTTCAGATATTCAGATCATATTAGATGTTAATTTGAAGAAGACATACAAATCTTATTATTACTAGAGACTTTTAACATTAATAAAGGATGTCTCTTTTTGTGAAATAATTCAATTGTTCTGGAATATTTGGAAAAGAAAAACTGAAAACCTAAGCCATTGTTGGGATGTGGCCATGACATACTGTATATAAAAATGTTTTGTCAAAATTATGCTTTCCACTCATCAACTATACTGAAAGCAACAGTGAAAGCTTTACAGAGTTATATTGAGTTCATTAAAACACAAGTTGTAAATAGCCTAATAATGCAGCTATTCAGTGTAATTGGTTAAATAAGAAAAGACAAGAGCTGAGTTTTGTCCTACATGAGCAAGTAAAAAGAGCATTGATAAGATCAAGATAATGTTCTATAAAATAAATGGATACTACCAAGTACTTTCTTTTTTAACCATGAAAGAAAACATGTCCAACAAAAGATGATGTGTTCTCTTACATCAGATCCCAGAAATGAGTTAACTGGCAGGAGACTTTTATAAACAATTATAGAGCTGAAAGTTGTGACCTTGACTGTACTGTTCTTGGGCCTAATATGACCAGATTTATATGAAGTAATTTTAGAATGTATCAAAAGTAATTCACTTCCAATGAGTTATCATCATTGCTTTCCAAAAAAAAAAGGAGACTTTGGGCTGCAAAAACAAAAACAAACAAACAAAAAAAAAACTGGAGACCAGTATCTCTGTTGTGTCTGGACTATAAAGTGTTTAACAAATAGACTCAAGCAATGTCTAGATTTGTTGATCAAAAATGATCAAAGATATTGCATTTCTAAGAGATCTATTAGTTTTTTTCTTACTGAGATATAATTGATTTCAATCAACATAATAAGAATGATTTAGGGGTGTTGTCATTGGATCAAGAAAAAAGCCCTTGATTATGTTGATCATGAATTTCTATTAACATTTTTAAAGAGTTATGGATTTGGTGATCTTTTTATTTTAAATATCCAGTTGTTGTATTGTAATGTTTATGTGATGATGAAAGTAGGGGTTTGGTTTAGGTGGTCCGATACCTGTGACAAGGCAAGGTTGTCCAATTTCTGGACAAATATATAGCCTAATTATTGAACTTTTATTATGTAGATTGAGGAGGAATTTAAATTGAACTTTAATCCATCATGTTAATGGTCATTCTGTGGTTTTATCAGCCTATGCAGATGGCATTACAGTTTTTATTACAGGACAAGAAGAAATTGGAATTTTAACAAAAACTATTGAATTATTTTTATGATTGGTAATTTGGAACATTTTTCACAACTTCCAGTAGGGTTGCAATGGAGGAAAGATGGATTAAAGATTTTAGGAGTTTTCTGTAGGAAATGAACAATTTAAAAAAAAAAAGGTTTGATAGAAAAGGTGCCTGCCCGACTGAAGTGGCGATGGCTATACCAAAATTGTCATTTCGAGGAAGAGTTATATTATATAGTATAGTAACAATCAGGCTGCTTCTATTTTGTGGCATAGGTCATGAAGCCACCAGAGGAGTTCATCTCCAATATACAAAGGAAAATAGTGAAAAACTGGAGGATTAATTATTTATGGGGCGATAGCAACAGACGGACATGTAGCACACCTGAATACAGCAGTAAAAGGGGATTGTCAATTCTGTGGAAAATAGGATTTGGAGCATTTGCTTTTAAAGTGTGAGAGATTAAAATGTATTTTTAAATTGCTTGGGAGCTGGTTTATAAAATTTGATGAGAATTTTTCAGAAAAGGTTAATCAAATATACATTTTCAAAAAGGAAAAAAAAAAAGTGTTTTTTTTTTTTAATTACCTGATTGGAACAGCTAAATTTGCAATGTGGAAAACACAGGAAAAATAAAGGTTTATAATTGGCAACTATAGATCCTGAAGAAATGTGCATAGCAGGGAGGCTTAAGATTGAATTTGCCTATTATAGGTTGTCAAATAATTTATTGTTTCTCTCTCTCTCTCTCTCTCCTTTCAATTGATTGCTCAATTCTGATGGACACATTTTGCAATTGCAGTTACAGATACATTTTGCAATGTCTGTACTATTGCAATGTTTGAAAGTGTTGTAAATCTTCGATCTCACTCATTCTTAATACTCTATGGGACAGATTCATACACTGTTACGGTTGTGTTGTAGATAAAGAAAGACAGATGCAAAAAGGCTCCACTTCAAAGAGTTACTCAAAAACAAAACAAATAGGTTCAGGCAGGCAACGGGTACACACACAAAAAACATTGTAACATTAACAAGAACCAACCAGGACTAACTGAACTAAGCAAACTAAATACAAACAAAAATGGATGATTGAGGTGAGTGCGTACAGCTGGGGAGACAAGAGGATGCTGGGAAGTGTAGTGAAGATGACGAAGACAGAAAGGTGCAGACGAGGACTGTGACATACACAGGTTACTTATTTATTTATTATGATTTGATTCAATAATTAGCCAGTCAAAAACATTAACAGGATTAAGCTAAAGAGTTAAAAGGTGAACATGGCAATTATTTTGTAACCTGCCATTTGCTTCCAGTTCATGTGTTGCATAAATATGACTCAATAAGTTTGACCGCTCTAACTTGTCTTGGTGTGTCTAAATGACACATACAAATTGTTGCATGAGATAAGACTTTTTCTCCATTTACAGGAAATATTGCTTGTGCACAGTGTGGTCTGGTTTAAAGGCCAATTTATACTTCTGCGTAAGGTGCGCGCAGTAGGTACGGCCAGTCCGTTCTCGTCCTTTAGCGTCACATAACACGCTATATGACAAAACGGCGCTATACTACGCACATGGCACCCTTTATCGTTAATATAACACGCGAACCCAAGACGTCATAAATCCTTTAGCGTGAATATGACACGCAGACCCTACCCCACACCTAAACTTAGCGTGTTATATTAACGATAACGGGTGCCATGTGCGTAGTATAGCGCCATTTTGTCATATAGGGTTGACGATATATGACGATAAAAGGATGAGAATGCGTTGGTACGGCATAGCATACGCACAGGTGCGTACCACACCGCGTACCCTTCGTCGTAGCCTGACGCGCACCTCTCAAAAATGTAACTATACGTTGCTACGACGCGGACCGCAAGATCTATGATTGGTCGGCTTGATAGCTTCGCATTTCCTCCTTCGCATTTCCACATGTACCATCTTCTCCAATGTCTTCTCTCGTTTCTGCCTTTTAGTTTTAGTAATTTCACTAAAACTAACTTTTGTTCCACCTCAATAAGCTTCAACTCCAACAGGATCCGCTCTCTTTCAGTCGCCATTGCTTGTAGTAACCTAGCAGCGAGGAATCTAAACACAGTGGAACATTAAAACCCTCCTCCGCCAACTAGCATTTCGGAGCAGTACTGCAGAGCAACCAAGTTCTGAACGCAGAAGTATTAGTTCTCACGCCTATGTGCGTAGCCTACGCCGTACACTACGCCGTACCCTTGACATAGAAGTTTAAATTGGCCTTAAAAAAATTCCCCGTGCCCTGAAGGAGGGAACAGAGGACGTAGTCGACGCCAGCTGCGGTGGAGAGGAGGAGTGAGGAGCCCACAGGGAATGGTTATCAGACAATCAACTCCTCCTATCACTCAGCCTAAAGCCAAGTTTATACTTTTGTGTCAAACTCACGCAGTAGCTACGCCATAGGCTTTGTGTAGCGCGCGTACCCTTCGGCGTACCCTGACGTGCACCTCTCCAAAAATGTAACAACGTCAATTCTACGTGTACCACAAGCGCTGTGATTGGTCTGCTAGAACCACTCCCCGGGTTTCACATGCTCCCTCTGCATGTGTAATTGCGCGTCAACGCGGACAACGACGCAGAAGTATAAATGAAAACCAACGCATAGTCTATAGCCTCGACGCAGAAGTATAAATCAGCCTTAAGGCCCGTTTCAAAAACTGAGATGGTCCTCACTGCAGAACCAACGCAGTCTCATCCCAAAAAGTCATATAACTGACGTTGTGGGACGTCTTTTGACCATACGTCAATATTCGCCTTTTTAGGGCCCCCTTAAACGTCGGTAGATGAGGTTATGGGATCCTAACTCTACCCCATACCTAAACCTAACCCTAAACCTAACCCGTCACCTAACTGACGTTAAAGGTAAAGCGTCAGTTGTATGACGGCCCGGGATCGCCATCTACCGACGTTTCAGGGGGCCCTAAAAAGGCGGATATTGACGTCTGGTCAAAATACGTCCCAAGACGTCAGTTATATGACTTTTTGGGATGAGAATGTGTTGGCAGAACACAAAATCCAGGGGGAGGAGTTAAATCCAGATCCCTGATCCCTAACCCCACCCCTAATCCTACCCATCTCCACCACTTATAGATCTGGATCCAAATCCGCCCCCTGGATCTCATGTACTGCAATGAGGTGCTACTGGAAAAACTGCCCACTGAAATGAACCTGTCTTGTAAAGTGTACAGTGCCTGAAAACATTTCTTGACTTCAGGAAATAAAAGAAACACACAAATAAACAAATAATGAATGCAATAAATAAATAAATAAATAAATACACATTTCAGTTCTTAAAGGGGTGGTTGATTGTGATTTCACTTTTTTCATTTTAAATATTGGGTCCCACTTTATATTAA